AATTAATTTTTCTATAGACTAAATAAAGATGTCGTAAGTGAATTCACTTGTGTCTTTTTATCCATACTGTCGATATCACTATACCCTCTACTTTCATGTTCCGCTAATTAGACCGTCTTCTCCATAAATCACCTAGTTATCGGTTTGTTTTACGTAAAACATAAACCTTCGTGCACTTGCATCAAGGTGAGACTTAATCGGTTGGAATAAACAGATTAATTTCACTGGCTAAGGATTATTATCACTACAATCATAACTAAGCGTTAAACATGCATGGGTCGGCTTAGTAGAAGCCTTGAGGACGATTTTGATTATTATTATTATAATCAAAAAGAAGCGCTAAGCCACAAGGGCTATACAGCAAGGACGATTTTGATTATTATTATTATAATCAAGGGGGAAGCGCTAAACCCGGAGGATTATACAGCGCTTTGGGGGGGGGGGGATGTGGAAGGCATTCAGGCTTAATTCGGGGAACTGGAGCACAGAGCCAATTCCCTAAATCAAGAGCCCCTCACCAACATCACGGAACCTTCTTTGAGGGGAGGACGATTTTGAGACGCACAGAAGGATTATTATTATAATCAAGGGGAAGCGCTAAACCCGGAGGATTATACAGCGCCTGGGGTGGGATGTGGAAGGCATTCAGGCTTAATTCAGGGAACTGGAGCACAGATCCAATTTCCTAAATCAAGAGCCCCTCACCTTCCTTGAGGGGCGCACAGAAGGAAAGCCAGACCAAACTTCACAGTTGACGGACTTCAAATTGATGTTTACACTGCAACATCTGGGATAACGTTGCTATCTGGTAAGATCTTTTGTCAAGTTATGAACTTGATACAGATATTAGCATATCGAAACGTTGACTTTGGGTGTGTCTTTTCTTTACTACTTGTCGGCAATACGCCATTTGGATACATCTGTGTATTTGTTAAGACATTTTTCTCCCGCTCATTTTATCATAGATAGCAAGACGAGTCTGAAGCATCATTAACACGGCCAGAAGGTTATCACTCACCTGAGAGATGCAATGTTGCTAGCAACATCTCTGGTGCTCTCTCTAAATGCAGCTATTACCACCATCGCTACCATCAAGGATTTTGTGAGGAAGAAATCAACACATGCGTGTCACTCAGTATGGCACCGTTTGAATGAACATAAATATGCATGCAATATTATTATTATAATCAAAAAGAAGCGCTAAGCCACAAGGGCTATACAGCTATGCATGCAATAGGATATTATTTTTATTATTAATATTATAATTATTATTATTAATTATACTAACAGCCTCACGCATCTCTCCCACTCACAGGTTATACCTACCTGGCCAATTTATGAAATCACTGTCTCCCTTTCTCAGCAGCATTTAACAGCTCCTAAATAAATTCTCGCCATCTTCCCTTTAAGGGAGACAGGCACCTTGATGCTGGTGAAGGTCTCTTGCTCCGAGGGATTTTCTTTAGCCTGGCTGACTGCAAGAGTTGCACATCCGTATCAAAATCAGCGGACGGAGGATCGAGCCTGCACTACTTGTGTTGAATGACCTACACTGGTTTATTATTATTATTATAATAAAAAAAGAAGCGCTAAGCCACAAGGGCTATACAGCTACACTGGTTTAGCGGTTGATATATTCAGCCTCATCCGATTATTATTATTATAATCAAGGGGGAAGCGCTAAACCCGGAGGATTATACAGCGCCTGGGGGGGGGGGATGTGGAAGGCATCCAGGCTTAATTCGGGGAACTGGAGCACAGATCCAATTCCCTAAATCAAGAGCCCCTCACCAACATCAAGGAACCTTCCTTGAGGGGAGCCTCATCCGAGAAACTGAACTACCATTCCTCGGATCAAACCTAATTACCCCCATTCATCATGTGCAGTATGACTCCTACGGGGGAGCGCTAAACTAGCTAAACAGCACCTGGGAAAATGGTAAGCATTTAGATTTTATTTAAGGAATTGGAATACAGGGCCAATTTCTTATATTGTTATAATCACGGGGGAGCGCTAAACCCGTAGGATTATACAGCGCCTGTCGGGGGGGATGTGGAAGGTACTCAGGTTTAATTCAGGGAACTGGAGCACAGATCCAGTTCCCTAGAACACGAGCCCCTCACAGCATCAAGGAACCTTCTTTGAGGGAGGAGAGGCTTATAAATATAGTATGTATCGAGTTTAAACAAAAAAGCAACTTTAGCCCAGCTGCCAACTTGTATATCATTGTAATAGATGGGTCATACTGAGAAATAGGACGACTTCAGGTTCAATCCAAGGAGTGGAAGGGCAAGTTTAATTCCTTGGACTGGCATCAAGGAACCTCCTGGAGGGGGGTGGGGAAATAGTAGAACAAATACTCAGTGCACAACCATCCTCCTGATTGCTAAATTATTATAATCATAACTAAGCTCTAAACCCACAAGGGTCATACAACGCTGCCCGATTTCCAAAGTGAAAGAAATTAATCTTAGTGCAAAATGAACAAATCTGGCATCCTAAATATTTACATAACCACATTTAACAATTTTACTTGGACAATTATTGCAGCCATGGATGATTATTATTATAATCAAAAAGAAGCGCTAAGCCACAAGGGCTATACAGCAGCCATGGATGAGCACTGAAGTTGTAGGGGTCAAAGCACCTAGGAAAATGCGAGGCATTCAAGTTTGATCCAAGGAAGGGAAGCACAAGTCCAATTCCTTAGATCAAGAGCCCACTCACTGGCTTTACTTGGACAATGGGGTAAGAATACACACGTCTGCTCACCAGCATAATTAAGTCAAAGTTCCTACAAACTAAGTTATGTTAGTTTAATGGCGAATCAAATCTATTTATAATAGTGGCTCCCAAGTTTGTACTATTATTATTATTATTGTCAAAAGGAAGTGATAAACCTACCAGGGTCATAGTCCCAAGTTTGTAGATCGTGTACTCTTTGGCGTGCATTTATCAACTGCGTACCCCTCATGCAGATGTGAAAAAAAATTTCCTTACAAATTGTCTTAAATACACAAGATACATAAATTTATCTGAGGTAATGTCATATATATACCTATACAACAGCACTGGTACTGCAGAAAAAAGATAAACTCGCAAAATTAGTTTTACAGATAAAGATATTCTTAGATGTACTTCTGTATTAAGTATATCAGTGGAATTTTCTTTCATTATGCACCGTTGTCCCAATACTTGTTGTTTTATGTCTGTAAAATTCTTATAAATAAAATGACAAATATTAAACTCATTTGTATACCCCTTGAAAATCCCTTCATGTACCCCTGGGGTATGGGTACCTTAGTTTGGGAACCCCTAACTTATAACACACCAATAAATGTGTGATCATGTTTTGATGAATGAACTGAAAAGCATACACAAGTGAATATAATTGGACTTGAGCTGGACCTGCCTGAAATGCACTAGCAGGTCTATTGCATCTTTTTTTTTTTTTTTTTTACCTCATTGGCTGTCTCCCACCAAGACAGGGTTGCCCAAAGTAAGAAACATTCACCTTCATTCAATTGTTGTCTTGCCAGAAGTGTGCAGACATCACAATTCAGATTACCCTCCAATTGCAGCATCCCACAACTCTGGTTAGTCTCGAACTGCTGCATCCCCACCCGTCCTCAAGAGTGCAGGCACTACTATTCTCACCTCCAGTACTTGTCCATCTAACCTGTTTTCCCTGAATCCCTTCATAAATGTTACCTTGCTTGCACTCCAATAGCACCACCCAACAGATTCCTGATCACCCAGCAGACAAGTTACAGAATGATCAGTAGACATGTCTGCTGGGATGACGCAATTATACCTTCCACCCTAGATTTATACATTTTCATTATCCTAGCCCTCTCCACCCTCTAAATACCCAAACCACCTCCCATACAATTATCACATACATGGTGGAGTGCTAAACCTGTACGAGTTATACAGCACCTAGGGAATGGAAGGCATTCAGATCAGATTCAAGGAATTGGAGCACAGGTCCAATTCGTTAGATCAAGAGCCCCTCATCAGCATCAACTACCCTTGAGGGACACCCATAGAAGTATTCATACCACTGTACTCTGGTACATTCCACCTCAACACACTTGCCTTTCTCATATATGGTTTGTCTTGTCTTTTCATACTCATCTACAGACATCCACTCCCAAATATCTAAATGCATTCACTTCCTCCATCTCCCTCCCTTCAATCTTACCATTGACCAGACTTTGTTACCCTAATCACCTTGGCCTTTTCTATGTACACTTTTAATTTCTACCTTTACATTCTTGTTCTTAAAAACTGATTGGAAATAATGGGGAGAGGAAGGACTGAGGCCCCAAAAGGGCTTATGCAATATAATGCAGTCACAAAAATGGAGACTTGAACTGGGTAATTCAGAGGTGGAAGTACTAAACCCATATAAGGATGTGATGGTTGCAAGAATACAACTGTAGTAGTCATTGGAGACATGTATTGATAATCGTTGCAGCCCGGCCTATATGTCTGCCTATCCCTGGCTTGGTCGAGAGAGAGGTAGAGGGCTCTGAGGGATGGCCTATGTGCAAGGGGGTCACACGACTCAAGGCATGGCCAGGGAGCCTCCCTATAAAATGGGGTTATCACAGTTTATACTACACAAGTATTAGACTGTTAACATCACCTGGGAAAATGGGAGGCAATAAAGTTCAATTCAAGGAATTTGAGCCAAAGTCTAATCCTTTGGATAAACAGCCTCTCACTGGGATCAGGGAACCTTCCTTGAGATGTGAGTAATGTAATTAGTAGTAGTAGATGTAATCTGCTGACCATGGAAGCAATTGTCAAATTGATGTGTAGAGCAGTAATATGACGATTGACAACTATGGGTGGTCATCAATTTTTAAGGAAGTACTATCATTTACAAAACCTGTTAGTTGGCAAAGAGAGGTCTAAGTAGGTAGTAATGACATTCTGCAAGCAACGTCATAAAATTACTGTCTGACAAATATAGGATGAAGAAAAAGAAAACTTATTACTTCATTTCATTTATTCAAAACTGACTCCATAAATGGTGTCTAGTCAAAAAGACCCATACCAAAGTCTTCATCGGATTCCTCCTCTTCCTCCTCTACCTTAGCAGCTTCTTTAGGAGCAGCAGCAGCAGCAGGAGCAGCAGCTGCTGCTGCAGGTGCAGCAACAGCAGCAGCAAACTTACTTGGGTCCTGCAGAAAAAAAAGTAAGAATAATTTTGAAGGCAGTCATATAACAGTAAAAATTACTATACCTTCATTGCTAACTACAAATTCCGGAGACGATGCTTAAATTTACATTTTATTAATGACAGTCTGTAGTAATTAGTCCCTGGCTCCCTTTCTATATATCAGCAACAAAACTGAATAAACAAAATATTTAAGAAAAAATATTTCTATTCTTGATACACTATTATTAGATTAGCATAAAACAGTAAGGTAGTCTGTATAGAACAACATTACACTCAAGTCAGTGCCACACACTAAAATTTTTCTCAGGCTTACCTTGTTAGTATCATCTTATTACATTTTTAACAGTTTGGTCATCATTATATTATGGCATACTGTACTTAAATTCACACATTCAAGTATTAGTGCTAAGCCAGGAAGTCATGGCATTTGTCCACAACAGAAATGCAAACGTTGTGTGTTATATTTTTAAAAAATGCAGTATATAATTCAGCAAGCACTATATATAGTAATACATAAGATACATTTTAGTTACTGTCAACCAAACTAGACAAGAAAGAAAAAAGATCAGCATAATCATAAAATGAAGAAAGATATTTTAGAACATGCAGAAGCTAAACTGCAGTAAGGATATGCCATCTAGTACCAGACAAAGTGAACATTCAGCATCCTCTTTAGTAGTTCCCAAAGAAGTCCTAGATCAGCTGGCTATGAACAACATCCTTCAAATTCTGGACCGGCTTTTGAATGTCTAGACTTACAACACGTAAGCACACCACTCATAAAAATAAAATCTTTAAGGTCAATTAAATACAAAAGGTAGATGGGTTCTATAACAGCATTATGAACCCTCTTCTCCCTCAGTGATAGGTAGTGTACCTGATAGATAACCTTTTGTTTGTCAACAGGTTAACAAAATTCCTCAAGAGCTCCCACCAGGCAGAGGTACTCTCACTCTGCTGAGTGATGAAGCCAGTGACTGCTTCAACTTCTGGAGTTTCAGTAAGGTGAAGAGAAACCAGCACCCAAAGGAGGTGGGACCCTTCCCAGCTAAAGATGAAATGCATAGCCTGTTGCCTGGGTGTAAGTGGTACACCAGCCTTCTGGTATCATTAATGCTGACTTGCCTGTACAATGTGCAAGAGCATACTCCCTGTTGCATATGCTACATAATACCAAATGTTTGTCTTATGTGGCATCTCTCCACAATTGAAAGACTGCACCATCCCCATACAGAGGGCCATTTTCTGATTTGAATACTATATCTGAATGGAGGTAAAGCCTCATCCAGTCAGACATCTGGAATAGGAAGCCCACTGAAAACAAGGTTTTAGCTATGTTCATATCCATGCAGTTTTGAGGTTTGGAGCTGCAGTCAAAAGTAGGAAGAATGAAAAGGTTACCCCACACAGAATGATAAATAAAAGAGTAATCAATAATCTATCGCCAAATCTCAGTACCTCACAGTCTTCAAGGAGAGAATCGAAACAGAATATACAACCTGTGTGGGTAATTGCATCCCTCAAGAATACTTGATAAATTACTTGCATTCCAAATACTGTAATATATGAACAAAGATAATATATTCTTAAAGTGCTCAGAAAACAAATGCAATATTTGGTTAAATAAGATAAGAAATATTCCCTTCCAGGTGTTAATGTACTGAAATATAAACAGGGAAAACTGGGAGACATGAGGCAGGGTAATGTAAATACAATAATGCAGTGAAAAATCATTTTAAATATTCAGAACTCAGAAATTTTACAGGAAAAAATTAACCCTTAAACTGTCCAAGTGTAGATCAACGTTCACGTGTGTAGCACTCCCTTCGTAGATCTACGTTTTATTTTACATGCCTTCAACCTTGGCACGATAAGCCTGAGTTGCCTAGACATGAGAGAATGAGTGTGCATTCAGTGTGTGCAGTATGACAAAATTCGGGGATGCCGGGAAAAATGTGCTCTTCATTTGAGAGAGAGAAAAAAAAAATCCCCAAAATATGCAGAGCAGTACGCATGTGAACGTTCATCTACGTGTGGACAGTTTAAGGGTTAACAAAGATTTATGCTGACAATTATTTTCATGGGGAAATACTAAATCTAATGGGTTCCAACAGAACCTGGGGAATGGTAGGAAATTAGAACTGATTTGAAGAAGGGAAGGGTAACTAATTTTTTCTATGAAGATACATTTCATCAGCATCATAGCACCACCTTGATGGGCAAATACAAATTAATAATGCTTTACTCATTAACCCTTCAATTGTGGGATAGTCTGAAAAAAAAAATTCCTGTGCATGTTGAAGATTCTGGAAAATAAAATTTTCTTACAGATCTATAGAACTTACTTTTCTAAACCGAATAAGGCTAAAATAAGTGAAATCTTATGAAAACTTAGAATTTTATGGTGTGTTGAAGTTGGTGAAAAAATTATCTATAATCAGCAACAGTGGCATTACAGCACCAGCAATGTTTACATTTTACAATTTATTGACACTAATACAGTGGACCCCCGGTTAACGATATTTTTTCACTCCAGAAGTATGTTCAGGTGCCAGTACTGACCGAATTTGTTCCCATAAGAAATATTGTGAAGTAGATTAGTCCATTTCAGACCCCCAAACATACACATACAAACGCACTTACATAAATACACTTACATAATTGGTCACATTCGGAGGTAATCGTTATGCGGGGGTCCACTGTATATGATTTTTTTAATTGCTTTTAATGTTTAATGCTATATATACTAGTTTTTTATAATACTCATGTGTTTCAAAGTGTTTCAGCATTTCAAACTTTGCTTCACTTGGAATAATTGGAATATAAATGGTATGTTTTTTTTTTTTTAATATTTTGGTCTTGTAAGGCTATGTACAAGGAATATTTATAACATTACAATTGTTTCAGAGAATAATACTCCTCAAAACATGGAAATAAGTAATACTGACTGACTTTACTAGGCTATATAAATTATATACATACTTTATACAGGAGCATGGGGCTAGTAACCCCTTCTGTATAAATTACCCGTTTCCCACCCTGCCTCGGCGGGATATGGCCGATTCGTTGAAAAAGAAAATACATTACAATTGTTATTGTTTTTTACTATTTTGTTCTTCAAAGGCTATGTATAATGAAGGTGCGTGAATTCTGTAGTTTTATAACTGTAGTGTGAGCACGCTTCTGGCAAGACAGTGATGGAGTGAATGATAAGGAGTTTTTCTTTTTTCGGGCCACCCTGCCTTGGTGGGAAACAGCCAGTGTTAATAAAAAAAAAATTATAATATTACAATTATTTCAGAATGTATTACTTATCAAAACATCAAAATTCTTCACATTGTTTGACTTTACTGGGTTGTATCTAGTGTGTTTTGTGGCTTAATTCCTGTTAGTATCATGAAACTGTAATAAATATGGAGTGAATAAGTCATCTTTGAGCTACTTGCACACCCCGTTTGCTGATAGGGAAGCTGGTGGTGGAACAGCTTCTGCTTCCAGTTTACTTTTACTAGTGAGGTGTACTAGTACATTGGACATACAGTCATCCCCTCAGTAGTTAACCATGATCCATTATGTGGACCCTGCTAACCTTAGATTTCTTTTTTCAAATGTATGAATAGATGGAAGACCTAAAGAGTTTCCCTGAGGTAAAAAATATTGGTAGGCAGCAGATTTGTGGGTATGAAAAACGATGCACACTAGTATGTCGGACACAGTACCAGCCCCTGCATACTAGTACATTGGACACAGTACAGGCACCTGCATACTAGTACGTCGGACACAGTACCGGCACCTGCATACTAGTACGTCAGACACAGTTAAAGGGTTAAAACCATAAAAAGAACTTTTAGGGGCATACAAATTCACTTACCGTCAAGAACTCCTTAACAGTTTCTGCCTCCTTGAAAGTGATGTCAGTAACAGCAGCAAGTGCCAGTAGCCTCCTCATGCCATTCACAATAGAGTGGGGCACAGACACAATAGTGGGATAACCAATGGAAAGTGACAAAGCAGCCACCCTTTTTAGAGCCTGTAAGAATAAAAAAAAAAATCAGCAAGTTTATTATAAACACCCAAATAAACAACTAAAAACTACCTCAGAAAGTAGCAAGTACAATTTTTTTTTTTTTTTTTTTACAAATCTGCCATGATCTCTGAAATCATGGGGTAATATTTACTTAAGAGGTTTGTGAAAGTTTAGCAAGTATTTATGACCCTTTCACTGTCGAGACCCCTGCTCACAAACTTGCTCTCAGTGTCGAAGAATTTAAAAAAAAAAATCTTGTGTAATGGTAGAGAAACTTTTCCCAACAATAATGACACCAAAAATATGAAATTTGACGGTAAACTTACAGAATTATACTCTTGAAAATTAGTGGTCTCGGCGATATTCATGCATCGGCAATTTTGCCCAATTTGAGCCCTATTTTTGGCCAATTCCATTGTTCCAGTCAACCAAATTCATAGCTATTTCACTAGAACTCTTTGTTCTATCGATTCAGTACAAGAAAGCACCCACTTACCAATTTCAACTACCCAATAAAGTGATCAGAAATTGGTAATTTGGCCAATTTCATACACAATTCAAGTAAGGCCAATTTCAAAACAGGGTCCAGAATTAACAATACAAACATTTCTAGCACTAAAATAACATTTTCTCTGTTCATTAGTCACGTCTCCAGGCCCCTCTTATATTATGCTTGCCTTTCATTTTGAATTTTTATTCACAATAAATATAAGGTTTACCATTATGCAGACTACTGCATTATTGTAAAAATGGTATAAATAATATCAGTGCATTTGTAAAAGTATATCTGACCCACGAGTTGATGTGTACTGGACGTATGACAACATTTGTTTACTCTTTAACCCTTTGACTGCTTACGCCATATAAATACGTCTTACATGCCACTGTTTCTGACGTATATATACTCAATAATTCTAGCGGCTTCAAATCAAGCGGGAGAAAGCTGGTAGGCCCACATGTGAGAGAATGGGTCTGTGTGGTCAGTGTGCACCACATAAAAAAAATCCTGCAGCACACAGTGTGTAATGAGGAAAAAAAACTGATCGTTTTTTTTGGATTAAAACGCCGACTTTGAGGTGTATTTTCGTATAGTATTTATCGTTGTATTCGCGTTTTCATGGTCTTAGGTAATAAAATGGAAAACACATTACAGAAATAGAGATGATTTTCATTATTCTGACGATGAAAACGACCTTGAAACTGAGCTCAAAGTAGCGGAAATGTTCGATTTTTACCAATGTTCAGGAGTAAACAAATCACACCACACATCCAATACACGTCACCTGGGGAGTCTAATATTCTTTCACTAGTGCACTGATATTATTTATACCATTTTTACAATAATGCAGTAGTCTGCATATCAGTAAATTTTGTATTTTTTTTTGTATGAATAAAAAATCAAAATAGAAAGCAATAATAATATAAGAGGGGCCTAGAGATGTGACTAATGAACAGACTATACGTTATTTTAGTGTCTACCTTGTTTATTCTGGACCCTATTTTGAAATTGGCACCTTTTTTAATTTGCGTGAAATTGGCCAAATTGCCAATTTCTGACCACTATATTGGGTAGTTCAAATTGGTAAATGGGCGGTTTCTTGTACTCAGCTGATAGATAAAATGGAGTTCTAAAGAAATAGTTACGAGTTTGGTCAACTGGAACAACGGAATTGGCTGAAAACAGGGCTCAAAGTCGGTGAAATCGTCGATACGCACATGTCGCCGAGACCGCTAACTTCGCGGGGGCGTAACTCCGTGAGTTTTCGACCAAATTTCGAACTTTTGGTGTCATTACCACCTGGAAAAGATTTTCTATCATTTCATAAGGAAAAATAATTTTTTTTTTTAAATTTATCGACATAGAATGACAGTTTCAGAAAGGGCCCTGCGACAGTCAAAGGGTTAACACTGGCAAAAATCGAACATTTCTGCTATTTTGAGCTCAATTTCAAAGTACTTTTAGTCAGTAAACATTCAAAATCATCTCTATTTCTGTAATATATTTTCCATTCCAACAAATGATACCAAGAAAACGGGAATACAGCTATAATTACCATAAAAAAATACACCACAAAATTTGGTGCTTTAAACCATGAACACTGAGGGTTTTCTTCTCATTATGCACTGCGTGCTGGAGGATTTTTTTTATATTGCGCACACTGACCACTCAGACCCATTCTCTCATATGTAGGCCTACCAACTTTCTTCTACAAGACTGGAAGCCGCTAGAATTTTGCCATAATATTACAGCACCAACACTGGCTTGCAAGCCGTAATATTACGGCACTGACAGTGAAAAGGTTAAGTGTTCATTATTGATTGGGTTGTACAATGAAGATCATTTTAATTGCTCAACCTGGATAAAAATGGTGGATACTGTATTATACATATATTTAAAAAAATAAAAAGTAACAATACTGTGGCTGGAACAATACACAAAGAACCTACACTTAGGGGATTGAAACTTATGACAACATTTCAGTCCAACTTGGACCGAAATGTGCAGGTTATCGTATTAACCTTTAAACTGTCCAAATGTAAATCTACATTCGGAGCACTACGGGAGTGAATGTAGATCTACATTTGGACAGTTTAATGGTTAAAAATATTTTTTTGAATATTGCAGGCAACTCAATGCAGCCTAATGCAATATAACCCATCTAATTAGACCTAGCCTATGATTAATAAACATTGGCACTCTCAATTTTGTCAAAATACACAGCTGAAATGCACATTTATTTAGTACACAAAGATAGCAAATTATGTTTTAAAAGGTAAATTCATGTGAATTAGAATCACTAGACATTACTCAAGTCTGGGTATTAGAACCGTTTTATCGCTGAACTGATAAGTAGTCCCCAAGTATGAAAGTGTCAATTTGAAAAGCCAAATTTAAAGCAGGGCCACATTTTATAATGATTGATATTAACATTATACTTATAACATTATAATATGGTAAAATAATTATACTGTAAGTCAAAAGATGTAACAGGTAAATGGTTCAAGTTCTGTTATAGATAAAAATACTATTTCAATTTTTATGAAATATACGAGACTATAATGGAAAGATAAATAAAATTTTAATGTAATTACTAATTGACAGTAAATAGGGTGCTACTAGGATAAACTGGCCCTGACCTGAAGTGAGAGGGGGTTGTTAGAGGTGGCAATAAGGTTTTGGTGTAAAATAGCTTTAAATATTTTGTAATTGTTGATACTAAGTATGGAACCTACATAAAAGTGAATTCATAATTTCATGCCGTATCCATTTTCTAGGAGGGCCACACATGACCATCGGGCCTCAGGTTGGGGACCCCTCCCTTAGAGTTAAATTTTAGGAAATAAATCCATCCTCTCATAAAAGTATTTCATGTGGCTAACATTTCCCAAATAAACTGTCTGAATAAGAAATACATATTTTTCCAAAAGTATGGAGAACTTACTTTTATTTTAAAAAATAAAACAGTTCAGCAAGCTCCTAAATTATTAGTCAAATCTTGCATTTTTGTTGACTACCTTTGAGAGCTAACTCCATAGTGATACTACATACTACGAAGACTAGAAGCAGTTTGAAATCAATTTGTAGTGTACATATTATGACAAATTAAGTAATGAAGAAACCAGAAGAATGCATGGCAATGTGAAAGAATGGTTACTGACATTCTGTGCTCATGATAAATGAGTGAAATCAGATACAGTACTGAAGACTTACTGAGAAGGTGATGCAGAGGATGTATTAGGGGTAGGTAACAGCAATGGAAATTTTTTTTTAATGTAACTAAGCAATGTAAAATACTAAGTTTTAACTCAAATAAAAAAAAAAAAGTCGGGTCCTATGCACCATATGTAATGAAAACAGTCGAACAGAAACTGCTCACCTCCTCGAATGTCTTGTTAAGATCTTCATCAGTAATATCCAACACTTTAGGAGAAAAGACTGTTCCTTGATCGTAAACTTGCTCCACAATCAAACCATAGGTGAAAGGGGATACATTCAACATGTTGAGAAGTGTGGCCTCACTGGCACCCACCTTGTCCCCTTCTTTCATTAACTGCACATCATTCTGAAAGGTGAAATTAATTGTGGTAATTTTCTTTCATGTACAGAGAATACATATAATACAAATTATCTTAATATCAGTTACTTATAGACATAATCTTGGTTCAGGAACACATCTGTGCATTCAACAACCACGTTACCAACCAAATGGCTGAAAACTTTACTTCAGTGCTACTGGATGACTTAACCCCTCGACTGTCGCAACCCCAAATTCTTAGGTGTCTCCCGATGTCAAAAATTTTTTGAAGGGGAAAAAAAAAAAATTCTTATGAAATGATAGAGAATCTTTTCCCGATGGTAATGACGCCAAAAGAATGAAATTTGGTGGAAAACTTACAGAATTACGCTCTCGCAAAGATAGTGACCTCGGCGATATTTACGAATTGGCGATTTCACTCACTTTGAGCCCTATTTTCAGCTAATTCCATTGTTCCAATCGACCAAACTCGTAGTTATTTCTTTAGATCTCCATTTGTTCTATCGACTGAGTACAAGAATCTGCCCACTTAATGATCTCAACTACCCAATAATGTGGTCAGAAATTTGCAATTTGGCCAATTTCACACAAATTAAAAAATATGCCAATTTCTAAAATAACATTTTCTTTGTTCATCAGTCACATCTCCAGGCCCCTCTGATATTACTCTTGCTTTCTATTTTGAATTTTTATTCAAACAAAAAATAGAAGATTTACTGTTATGCAGACTACTGCAATATTGTAATAAATGTATAAATAATGTCAACCCATTATGACTGCATATTAGAATGGCTAGATGGACATTTATTGGACAATGTTTTCAACTGATAAATCCATTCGTTCCCAAGGCTTTCTTAACTTTTTTATCTCACTCCAATTTTTTTCTTATTTTCATCAAAATTTCTTGACAGTGCCTCTCCCACTCTTATCATCTGCTCTCCTTTTGCACTTTCTCACCACTCTCTTCACCTTTCTTTTACTCTCCATATACTCTGCTCTTCTTATAACACTTCTGCTTTGTAAAAACCTCTCATAGGCTACCTTTTTCTCTTTTATCACACCCTTTACTTCATCATTCCACCAATCACTCCTCTTTCCTCCTGCACCCACCCTCCTATAGGCACAAACTTCTGCCCCACATTCTAATACGCATATTTAAAACTATTCCAACCCTCTTCAACCGCCCCACTATTTATATTTGCACAAGCCCACCTTTCTGCCAATAGTTGCTTATATCTCACCCTAACTTCCTCCTCCCTTAGTTTATACACTTTCACCTCTCTCTTACTTGTGGTTCCCATTTTCCTTTCATACCATCTAACTGTAGCTACAACTAAATAACGTAGTGTAGCCCAGGGGGTCTACACTATACAGCCAGGAGGAGAGAGGGAGTTGGGGATTCCCAACTCCCTCTCCCCTCCTGCCTTCTTCAATACACCAATAAGAGCCTTCAATAATGGTATGTAATGTTCATTTATCATTAAAATTTGTGCTTTATATTTATTTCTCATGGTTTTCTGCATGTAAAGCTATAGTTAATCTTTAACCCTTAAACTGTCCAACCAGATCTACATTCACATGCGTAGTGCTCCAAAAGTAGATTATGTTTTTTACATATTTTCAAATACACACAAAAAAAAAATGTAGATCAAAGTTTTTTACACATTTTCAAAAGTATAAAAATAAAAGATCTACCTTTTTTACATACTTTCAAATGTTGAAAAAACGTAGATCTACGTTTGGACAGTTTAAGGGTTAAAAAATATATTTTTTTGTTAACATTTTTGGGTGTCTGAAATGAATAAATTGGAGTTACATTAATTCTTATTGGAAATATTATTTCAGTTTTCAGCCATTTTGGATATAGGCTGACCTTCTGGTTTGGATTACGGCTGATAACAGAGGGTCCACTGAGGTGTTGTGGGCGAGGGGTTTGGAATTTCAGCAAGCGTGCGTGAGCATGTTAGATAGGAGTGAATGGAGACAAATGGTATTTGGGACCTGACGATCTGTTGGAGTGTGAGCAGGGTAATATTTAGTGAAGGGATTCAGGGAAACCGGTTATTTTATATAACCAGACTTGAGTCCTGGAAATGGGAAGTACAATGCCTGCACTCTAAAGGAGGGGTTCGGGATATTGGCAGTTTGGAAGGATGTTGTGTATCTTTATACGTACAGTGGACCCCCGCATAACGATCAGCTCCCAACTCGACCAATTATGTAAGTGTATTTTTGTAAGTGCTTTTGTAGGTGTATTTTTGGGGGTCTGAAATGGACTAATCTAATTCACAATATCTCTTATGGGAACAAATTCGGTCTATAACGGCACCCAAACAGACTTCTGGATTGAAATAATATCATTATCCAGGGGTCCACTGTATATGCTTCTAAACCGTTGTGTTCTGAGCACCTCTGTAAAAACAGTGATTATGTGTGAGCGAGGTGAAAGTGTTGAATGATGATGAAAGTATTTTCTTTTTGGGGATTTTCTTTCTCTTTTGGGTCACCCTGCCTCGGTGGGAGATGGCCGACTTGTTAAAAAAAAAAAATATATATATATATATATACACCCACACCCACCCACACATGCCCCCACACACACACACCAACACCCACACACACGCTGTATCCCACCGAGATGGGGTGTCGCAAAAGGAAAAACGAAAGTTTCTCCTTTTACATTTAGTAATATATAAAGGAGAAGGGGTTACTAGCCCCTTGCTCCCGGCATTTTTGTCGCCTCTTACGACACGCATGGCTTACGGAGGAAGAATTCTGTTCCACTTCCCCATGGAGGTAAGAGGAAATAAACAAGAACAAGAACTAGAAAGTAAATAGAAGAAAACTCAAAGGGGTGTGTATATATATGCTTGTACATGTATGTGTAGTGTGACCTAAGTGTAAGTAGTAGTAGTAAGACGTACCTGAAATCTTGCATGTTTATGAGACAGAAAAAAAGGACACCAGCAATCCTACCATCATGTAAAACGATTACAGGCTTTCGTTTTACACTCGCTTGGCAGGACGGTAGTACCTCCTTCGGCGGTTGCTGTCTACCAACCTACTACCTACAATATACTTATATATATATTTTTTTTTATTATTATCACACTGGCCGATTCCCACCAAGGCAGGGTGGCCTGAAAAAGAAAAACTTTCACCATCATTCACTCCATCACTGTCTTGCCAGAAGGGTACTTTACACTACAGTTTTTAAACTGCAACATTAACACCCCTCCTTCAGAGTGCAGGCACTGTACTTCCCATCTCCAGGACTCAAGTCCGGCCTGCCGGTTTCCCTGAACCCCCTTCATAAATGTTACTTTGCTCACACTCCAACAGCACATCAAGTACTAAAAACCATTCGTCTCCATTCACTCCTATCAAACACGCTCACGCATGCCTGCTGGAAGTCCAAGCCCCTCGCACACAAAACCTCCTTTACCCCCTTCCTCCAACCTTTCCTAGGCCGACCCCTACCCCGCCTTCCTTCCACTACAGACTGATACACTCTTGAAGTCATTCTGTTTCGCTCCATTCTCTCTACATGTCCGAACCACCTCAACAACCCTGTCAATTGTCAACTGTCAACTGTGTCAATTCCCATTCTGAATTTGATTCCCCAAAATTTAATCCCACCCCTCTCCCGAACACCCTAGCATTTTCTTCCTTTACAACCCAATCTATAAATATATTAAACAACCATGGTGACATTACACATCCCTGTCTAAGACCTACTTTTAACTTACAATAAATAAGTAAACAATCTTTAAACACTTACAATTTTCCCTTATACTTACAACAATTTCAATGGTACCCCTAGAAATCTTGGTCGGAATCTGCAAAGCCTGGAAGAAACTAGTCTTCTCAGGACCAAGACCAGTGTTCTGAGCAGGGAGAGTTACAGCACAAGGAGCAATAGCTCCAGGACGTGCAGGAGCCTTCTTCTTGTTGGCCAGAAGCTTGTCACGAACCTCAACCAGATCGAAATTGGTGAACACAAATCCTACGTTGTTCACAATATGAGGAAGCAGCCTGTCAGATGGAAGAAAATTTGTTTCTTTAAATGCACCCTTTCAAATACTGCATTTAATAAAAAATTGTACAAGTCTTTCCTACAAAGTCTACAAACCTACAAGAGATGGGATGTAATAAATATGTTACTGACAGAATAAAACAAGCTCTTAAAACTTACTTCAACCAAAAAAAAGAATATAATTACTAATGCTAATTATCAATTAGCACAAAATTACCTTTCTAAATTTGGGTTGTTCTCTAGATGGCCACGAATAGCCTTGCGCATCATGGTGTTTTTGCCCATGAGAACAACAGCACAGCCACGCAGAGCCATTCGGATCTCCTGCATTTGCTTTGAGCCGACATTGTCAGCACCAACAATGAAGCAACGGCTGTAATCGTCAAAAAGCTTGGTGATCTTGGTGAAGTAATTAGCCTTCCATGTCGTTTTGTCCACCCTAACCATCTTGAAATTGTGGATTAAGGCACCGATCTAACGGACTTAGGGACTGCAAAGAAAAAATAATGAGTTGGAAACTTGCATATCAAAACTCATATAATAACACAATAAAACATTTATTTGTTAACAAATTTACTGTTCACTTTTTACTCAAGTGGCAATTTATTCATTATGCCTATCTAGTAAATTAGGTTTGATCCAATTTTTGTAACCCTCAGGTCAGTAGTATAGTAATCTACTAAACCAATTCTTGGGTTAGAAGATACATACTGTATTTTAGTCTTTATACTGTACTTACTGCCCCCATTTTTCCCCTAGCAGTAAATATATAGTGTACTGTATTGTTACCTAGTAATTAATGAACTACTGTGGGTCACATCCTAGAGTGAAAGTTAAAGATTCCAGCAGAAATAAGCCAAACTTTAATGGCTTCTTTGGTTATTCTGGGATAATCTGAAGTAATTATCTTTTAATAATATGCTGTTTGCATTGATAAAATGCTTTGACCATATTTGCACCCATTTTAATCGCTGGTTGTTTGGTTTTTTAGTTTCTCTCGCCATACTGTAATCCCTTAACCCTTTCAGGGTTGAGAGGCCCTCTCCTAAACTTGTTCTCAGGGTTGAAAATTTTTTTGGAAAAAAAAAAAAAAAAAAAAAAAAAAATTCTTATGAAAAGATAGAGAATCTTTTCCCAATCATAATGACACCAAAACTATGAAATTTGATGGAAAACTTACGGAATTACGTTCTCGCGAAGCTAGCGGTCTCAACGACGTTTTCGGCCAATTCCAGTTTACTAGTCGACAAATATCATAACTACTTTGCTAGAAGTCCATTTTTTCTATTGAATGAGTACAAGAAACCACCCATTTACCGATTTCAACAATCCAATAAAGTCGTCAGAAATTAGCAATTTTGCCAATTTCACACAAATTTCAAAAGATGCCAATTTCCATACAGGGTCCAGAATAAACAAGACAGACATTCCTGGCACTAAAAGAACATTTCCTCTGTTCATTAATCATGTCCCTAGGTCCCTCTTACATTTCTTTTGCTTTCCACTTTGAATTTTTACTCTCATAAAAAATAGAAGATTTACTGTTATGCAGACTACTGCATTAGTGTAGAAATGGTATAAATAATATCAACGCACTTGTGAAAGAATATTAGACTCACCAGTTGATGTGTATTGGACGCGTGGCATGATTTGTTTACTTTTGAACTTTGGCAAAAATCGAACATTTCTGCTACTTTGAGCTTAATTTCAAGGTACTTTTCATTATGAAACCAATCAAAATCATCTCAATTTCTGTAATATGTCTTCCATTCTATAAAATGAGACCAGGAAACCTAGAATACAACCATAAATGCCATACGAAAATACAGTGCAAACTCGCTGTTTTAAACGAAAAACACGGTCAAAGTTTTTTTTTTCTCATTACGCACTGTGTACCGCAGGATTTTTTTATACTGTGCACACTGACCACACAGACCCATTCTTTCATATGTAGGCCTATCAGCTTTCTCTCGCTAGATTTGAAGGCGCTAGAATTTACACGTGCAAGTACATTAATAACCCTGGTGCATAAGCCGTACTAGTACGTCGGAAACCCTGAAAGGGTTAACAGGTTATTGCCAGGCTGCACTGATTAGGTGGTCTGTTAATCCACTGTAGTCTGTAGATCAAAAATCTGAAACCTCAACTGCATTATAGTATTCTTACTAAACCTAATTTGTATTTCCTCTCTCAATCATTGTAAGTTCACTAACATTTTTCTATACAGCACTGCATTAAACTGATTCTTGCCTAACAGACACGAACTAAAGGGAAGTCTTACGACATTTCAGAGCTTATTACTAATGAAAGCATTACAGGCAAGAATTTTTTTTTATTCTTACTATGTATAGTTAAAATTTTTATCCAACAAAATGTGAATTCAGATTACCCAGTACAGGTAACATCAGCTATATCCCTTGGCATTTATGACACTATTTCCACCTGCATAAATTACAAGTTCTCATTTAACACTAAAGGGCATATCATTTACAACAACCACATATTGAGGGATTCCAATTTGATATGAAAATACTATTCAAATTATTAATTCAGGATAACCCAAGAAAGCCAGTAATTGTCTTGTTTCCATTGGTATTGATTTTAAGGTCTTCCCCAGAGTGTAACCCATAACAGATGACTAACTTCCATGTACCTACTTACTACTAATAGACACAGGGGTGGCAGGTGTTAGGAAACTTAATCATATATCCTGACAGTTCTCACCCAGCTGTTGGTGAGGGTGGACGCAGAGTGTGCGGCTGGTGCCCTCTGGTGTCTGTATCGAGAAGTTTTGTTTTTTCAAGATGGCGGAGCACAGAAGAGTCAACACTGTCTGTGTGGAATTGTTGAAAGGTGCAATATACCAGGACACCGCTGACGTCATTCTGCCTCTTGTGATAAGATACGTATGGAATCCCAAGTGAGGATTTATATGGGATTTCTTTGAACGGCAACGCAAGAATTTTTGTGAAATTGTGTCGTCTGCTGCTTATGCGAGTCGTGGACATCTTTCAAGAAAAACGGATTGTCATCAACACTGGTCTGGAGGTGCGCCTGCGTGATGTTTTGGCATGTTATACGTGGGTTCGTCTACGTAATATACCCTTCGAGGCAAACGAGGTGGACATTCGTCGGACATTTGGGCACTATGGCACCATACAAGCTGTCAACGTAGGGTGTTGGTCCCAGGGTTTTTATGCTGGTGTGCTCGAGGGTTCTTTTTCTATGAAAATAACACTGAGACATCCAATTCCCTCTCTTGTTGTGTTGGAGGATTTTCGGACGCAGGTCTATGTAACTTACCCAGGGCAGGTTTGGACATGCCGACTGTGTGGTGCAACAGGACATATGGCGGCGACTTGTGAGCAACGACGAGGGATACAACGGTTGGACCTGACGGACACTGCGTCCAAAGATTCGATGGAGGAGGATGATTGGCCCATCGGAAGTCCATGATGGTGGATGATGTGCTGCAGGTTTTACCGGCGGATGTGAAGTGGAGTGGAGTGCAGCAGTGGATGCTGCAGAGGGGATCGTCTCGACGCTTCCACCGGCGTTGGAGATCGAGACGATTGGGTTGACAGCATGTCGCCTCCGGTGGAAGAGGCGGCGCACGCACTATTGGTATTGCCCAGTTTTGAGAACATACAGAGGATCCTCGACAGCCCAGCGACAGAGGATTTACTCCCAACGTTGGCGGCGTCACCTGTGGTCGACCATGGTCTAGCGGGATGTGTGCGCAATGAGGAAAGGCGTACAACTTGCACGGCGGTGGTGGTGACGGATATCGAGGTGCATAGGACGGACGGTGAGGGGCTTATGGATTATGAGGGAGTGTCATGTAAGAGGCCCAGTACACCTGTGGAGGACGATATCTTACCACCGGGTCAGAGGTCTTGTAAAATGGTGTGGGCTGACATAGCCAAGGGCGTTAAGGGACTTCCCTTAGAGAAGTCAAGTGGGAGTGTGGGGAAGACGGGCAGGTGCAACAGTGGCAAGTCCAAGACAAGTTTAAAGGTGACGGGAAAACGCAATGAGAAAACCTAACTGGAGAGTTCAAGTGTATAACGATGAATGTCAATAGCCTCAGAGCAGAGGTCAAGAGGCGTTGGGTAGAGGTATAGCTCAGACGTATGGATGTCGATGTTTTTTTTTTATACAAGAACACAATTTTCGGTGTGGTAGTGAATTATGTGTACAAGGGTATAAATGTTATGCCGGGAATTCGGATAATCTCAAAGGTGGGGTTGTGATAGGCATAAGGGAGACCAGCCCTTTTACGCTCGTAGCATGGGAGTGGGGCGGAGGGGGCCGGGGTGTGCGTGTGGTGGGTTCATGGGGGAACATTCAGGTGGGTTTCGTGGGAGTATATATGCCAGTGCCAACAAATCGATGAGTAAAGGAGGATTTTGTACGTGATGTTTTGGCTTATTTTCTCAGAAGTCTACCCTTAGTTTCTGTCGTTGCAGGCGATTGGAATTGTGTGATCCGGGAAAGATGCCGAACCGTGTGGTGGGGGGTGTAATTTAAGGGTTTTACGGGAGGTTCTGCAAGCGATTGGTGTAGTGGATGTAGTGGGTAATGACGGGTGGAATGTGGAACACGCGCTTGGACAAGGTTTATATCACTAGCTTAATCCGTAGTGGCAGGGTTGATTGTGTTGATCTGGGTTTCTCAGACCACCGTGGTGTTCTGGGAGGGCGTTATCCGTGTTTTTTCTGGTTATTGGAAATAAAATGTCAATTTGTTGCAAGGAGTCGATGCTGTGGAAGCTTTCAGGTTATGGTGGGTTGGATTCTGGAACGAAGGAAATGGGATAGAGGATGTTGTAGAGTGGTGGCATTCAAAGGCAAAAGATGTGATACAGGGTTTTTATAGAAGGTTAGGGAAGGAGGAGGCGTGTTATAGATATGGTAATCAAAAGTATTTAGAGGGACAGCTGCAAGATTGTTACGGTGAAGGTGGGAGGTATGATCTCGCGGAAATAGAGTGCCTTCGTAGTCAATTGTGGGAAATTCAGAACGATAATTTTCAGGCATTGAGGGTGCGAGCGGGGATTGAGGAGGTGCTTTGGGGGGATAAACCCTCTGTGGGGGTTCTACGTAGTTTCAGAATGAGACGTATGGCGATGACAGTATTATCAGTGGTGGTCGGTGATGACTAGGGAGGTTATCATAAAGGACAAAGGCTAGTTACAACTGAGAGCATGGGGATATATGCAGACAAATGGTTAGAGAGAAAAATGGAAGGGTAGAGAGGGGAATCGAGAGGCGAGGGAAGCTTTACTGCGTGGCATTGTGGCGAATTTGAGAGACGTGGATCGAGAGGACATGGAGGGTTGTATATCAGAGGTGGTGGTTTACAAGGCTGTTCAGGGACAGGCACTGAGGAAATTGCCTGGTTGGGATGGGATACCAGGTGATTTTTATGCAGTTCATTGGGAACTGTTAAAATGTGTGTTGGTTCGACTTTACAATTCAATGAAAATTA